CCATTTGATATGACAAATTCAAAATTAACTATCGTATGTTTACCTCATGCAGTTACAGCTGAATCAATTGCTGAAGTAGAATATCCAGTACCAGGTACTACTCTTGTTGTCATTGGATGGGGTGCGACTGAATATAGTCCAATGAATCCATCAACAACTCTACAACAAGTTACAGTCAAAGCAGTAGCAAGTACATCAAGCGATTGTACGACTTCTACCAATGAAATGGTCAATGTTACTGTACATTTTTGTGCTGGAATATCAGGCGGTGGAAAAGGTAAATAAAAAACTGGATTATCAAGGAGATAAAAAAAATTTATTGTGTCACTTTGTTTTTTAGATGCATGCCTAGGTGATAGTGGAGGTCCAATAATGGCTTTTGTTGATAATCGTTGGCAAATTATGGGTATAACATCAATTGGTTATGGATGTGCTTTACCAGGTCACTCCGGCATTTATACACGTGTTGCTTATTATATTCCATTTATTGAAAAAATTAAAGATCAAAATCAAACAATTTATGCATCAATAATTGCAAGCATAACTAATGGTTATAATAGAATGCAAACGACGATGATAGAAAATATTATTTTTATTATTTTATTATTAATTATTAACATGTTTCATATATTATAAAAAAATAATTTTAGAACAATTATTTTTATTTCTTAAACTTTTGAATACAAATAAACGAATATTTTAAAGATGGTTTTTATATATTAGTAGACATAGAGAATTCCTCAATATAATGAAACTGGAAAGATTTATTTTAAAGGAATCAAAATCTGTTAGATGTGCAGAACTCAATGATAAGTATGTTGTTTGTAGAAAGATTTTGTCAATGAAAAGATTATCGAAAAACCTTCATCGACAATGACTATCATTTATTAATAGCTTATTAAGAAAAAAAAGGATTTAGTGACATAATGCTTTTATTTCTACAATACAAGATAAACCATATAATGAAAAATATCATTTCATTAATTTATTGAGAGAGACAAATGAGCAAATACAAATGTACAATCAGATATAAAATAAGAAATGAATAAAGACACAATAAAATCCAATCATGCTATTATTGTTTTTCTTTGTCAAAAAAAAGAAAAGTGAAAAAAGCCTTCAAGGTGTCATATGAGTGTACTTTCTATTTTTTTCCTTCGTTCTCACTCATTGATCAAATCAATTTACGAATCATTCTTAGCAAACTCGACAAGTCTTCCTTTTTTTTTTTCTTTGCTTATGTTAAAATGTTTATCTTTCGACGAAACATGTTTTAATAATAATCATCATAGTATTCAAATTTACAAAAATTATTTCTCATAAAATTAATAAACAGAATTTAATACTAAATTGCAATTCCTTTAAAAAATAACTTTAATCTCTTACAAAACATCGGACATTATTAATTAATAAGAAATTTCACGGACAAGTATATCGAATAATAAATATTATGAATCTATATACGTATAAGTCCATGGATGAAAGTCTATGATGAGAAGAAAAAAAAAAGAAATCCAATGGAAAATAAAGACACGTGGACACAATCATTTATTTTCTACGTAATTGAAGTTTGTATCGATACGGTTCAATGACCAGCCTTGCAGCTCAGACTCTATTGTATATAGTAAACAACGATGATAAAAAAAAAACATTCATAACGCTTTATTTGTGATTGAATAGAGAGAAAAAAAAATCAGAATATAAAAATCAATTTCATTTATTTGCTGTTAATAACGAATATGCTACCTCGAAGAAATGAAAGCGAACATGTTAATAATCATGAAGAAACTGTGGATCAATCTAAATCTATCCAAAATAATTATAATGATAATACGGGAAAAGAATCATCTCATATAGTTGTCGATGAAAATGACTTAGATGGAAATCAACGATTAGTTGTTATTAAGGAATCTCAACCATTGTAAGTTCATTTAATTAATTTAACATAAAAGTAATAAAATAAATTGGTTGTTTTATTTTCATATTTTCTTATTTTATAAATGATTATATCAAATACGAACATTGAATTCACCTTCGTTTACATTCTCATACCTTTACATAACTATATTTGAAGGTTATTAACAATGATCATCATTGAAATCTATCTAGTATAGAAATTTTTTAAAGTAAACTACTAATAAATTTGTTGATAAATTCGTTAGTTTTCATTGTCCTGACTCATAATTCATATCAAAAAGATCAATATTACATAAAAAAATAAATAAAACTCTTTCTTAAATAGCACTACACAAACCATAATTAAATATTTATACAAGATTAAAATACAGCGAATTGAATATCTGCTACATACGATCGGTCTAAGAATCTAGGAGTAGATATATGAATAACTTGTTCTAGATCTTAGTATATATTAAAATTTTTTATCGCGATATTATCATGATTATTTAGATTCAGATGTAGTTTACTTTATTTGGGTACAGCTATTCCATCATCAAATACATCTGGTATTGATTCTATACAAGAACCATTATCAAGACGATATCCAATCGATGGAAAAGAATACGTGCAAGGTAAGAAATGTTAATATCTTTCATAAATTGAAGCCTACTAACGAAAATGAACAATTAATTCTGACGAAGTCATATGAAATCAACTGAACATAAGTTTAAATTAGCCATTTATATGTTCAGAATATTATCAAGAATAGATCTTCTATTAATTGAGAGTAATAAGAAAGATTGAGTTGGTCCTTCCAGAGTTAAGATTATTCACTTGCACAGGCTCATTCCATGACTAGTGATACTAAAGTTTGAACACAGTGCATGAAGAATAAAGCAATCTTCTCATGATTGGCAATAGTAATAAGTTTCTTCTGTTTTGGATTATGTCGATTATTCATTCGTCATCTTGTATTTCTACTGAATAGGTATTGAAGCATGGTTATCTGTTGATGAAAATGGTTTACAAATACAATTTGTTTCTGATCCATCGTTTATGCTTTATTACCCAATTCGTTCTCTTGTCTATTGTGCTAGTGTACGTTTTGCAACAAGAACTGCAACAGGTGATAAATTTCAAAATGGTTGGTCTTTTGTTCCATTAGACTCTCCAGAAGCTCATCATACAGAAAATATACGAAATCCACCATTATTTACTGTTACTCTTCAACGAACACGTCATTTACCTATGGATGAATGTCATTGTTTTGTTTTAAAATCTGAACAAGAGACATTAGATCTTGTTCGAACTTGTTATAATGCATATGAAGCAACTGATCCACAACAAGATTGTTCAAAAGTTCCACTTTATTTTAAAGTAATAATACAAAAACAAAAGAAATAAAAATTTCTATCTTTTGCTATTATTTAGATCAATGAGGATGGATCAAGTATTCAAGAAACTGATGATGAAATATATATTGTACCAGCATTGTATGAAGAAAAAACAATAGATTATCAAACAAATAATAAATCTTCTGGTTTTTTCTATACAACAGAACGAGTATCGTTTAGTTCTTGGCAATTACGAAAACATCTTAAACTTGATAATGATCGACCAGCAAGTCGTCAGTCTTCAAGATCAGTATCATCTGTTTCATCATATCGTAATACTCGTCAACATCGTCGTACACCTAAACGATCAAATCCTGACATTCAATTAGTTTTATCTGAATTTCAATCTAAGCCAACAAATAATTCTACTCAAGAATCATTAGAACCGGCAGGAATTGATCCATATGCTTATGACCCTAATGTTGTTCGTGTTGAACGTATCAAAGATGTTAATACAGGTCGAGATATTTTTATTCGGGTTCTTCGTAATAGATCGGAAACTCCAAAACAATCATCATTAAATCAAAAACCTGCTAACGACCTTCATATAGGTTTAAATAATGATTATAAATCAGAAGAAGAAATATCTAATGATATGAAACATTTAGTAATAGATGATGACCATTCAAAGAAATCAGTCACAACTGATGATGAACATGTTACAAAATCTACCACAAATGATGAAGAACATTCTAAAAAATCGAGCATAAGTGATTACGAACATGATGAAACACCGACCACATTTGAGGATGAACCTTTTAAAAAATGGAATATAAGTAATTTTGGACATTCTGAACAGCCAGTTACAACTGATGATGAACATGTTAAAAAATCTACCACAATACATGACAAACATTCTACAAAATCCAGTATAGCTGATTATGGACAGTATGAAAGATCGGCCACAATTGAAAAAGAGCATGTTGAAAAACCTATTACAATTCATGGCAAACATCGTAAAAAAACGGCAAGGTTTCATCATGAACATATTAAAGAATCGGACATATATGATTATAGACCTTTTGAAAACCTGACCACAGTTGATGATAAACCACAATTTATAATAATCGATCATAAACAAAAAAAATCGAAGAAAAAACATAAAAAACACAAAAAACACAAACATCACAATTATGAAGTCCTTGATGAACATTTTAAACATCATCATAAAGAAAAACACTCGAATAGAAGTCATAAAAAACATCGACATAAACATCGCGAAGTTATTGATTTATCTATAACTCCATTAATACAAGAACAACTTCCTATACGATCTATTAGTACGATATATTCATATGAAATAACATATCCATATGAGAGATCATATTCTTATAAGACAACACATCCATATGAGCGAACATATTCATATGAGAGATCATATTCATATAAGACACCACTTCCATATGAATTAAGATCTTCATATGAGTCGAGAGCTCCATATGAGTCGAGATCTCCATATGAGTCGAGATCTCCATATGAG